CAACAGCAAGGTCCCAAAAGTTTTTTGTTCGAACAGACTAGTAGCAATGTCCTTCTTACTAGTAGCGAAAGGTCCCAACAGCAAGGTCCCAAAAGTTTTTTGTTCGAACGATGTCCACTCTTTCGCCTGAAGCTGTTTCACGATTGAACGTTTCAGGTAGCAATACAACAGCTGATTGATGTATATAGAGGCTGTGACTCTGGTGGTTTGCCAACAAACCTCAGAGTACCGGTTGCCGACAGAGATTTCCATAAGTCACATGGTCGCTTAAGGATCCAGGCAGCTTTTCTGGTGTGCTGCGATTGGGATGTGGGTACAACCAATCTCCTGGTCAGCAAACATGCATCAGCAGAGAGCTTTGATCATTTTCGGATTTGGTTGATGGACCAAGAAACATGGAACTGCGTGACCCAAAGTAGTAGTAGTAGTAGTAGTAGTAGTAGTAGTAGTAGTAGTAGTAATAGTAGTAATAGTAATAGTAAAGTAGGAGTAGGAGTAGGAGTAGGAGTAGTATAGTAGTATAGAGTAGTATAGAGTAGTATAGAGTAGTACAGAGTAGTATAGAGTCTATAGTATATACTGTAGTTATATAGTAATATAGTATAGTATATTGTAGCATACATAATCCCAATGCATCAGTATCCCACTTGTTCAAATGTGTTGTAGGGATTTGCCTTCGAGGAGCGACGGATTCGTCGGTCACGTCGGGCCTAGCTGCTTGGGTGGAGAGAATCGTCGTGTTTTTCGAGACTGTTGGTGTTGGGTTGAAAGTTGGTTCGGTCAATGAACTTATATAGAGGTGCTTAGTTCGGTCGAAGCATATGTGATGTTTTACTGTAAAACATATTAGTTCAGGCTTCTAAGGTGCAACTTAGAGAGAGAGAGAGAGAGAGATGAGCAGCTTCGACAACTTCAACCAGTCTGGCACAGACGCGGGTGTACGAACAAATTCCTACTTGGACCAATTGCTTACCCTTGATCCCACCCAAATCCATGCTCAATAGGTGAGATCTGAAGATGCATATCGAATGCAACCGCAGAGTTACAAGAAAGGGGTTCACCATTGTGTGTTGCCATTCCTCTTAGTAACGGAAGGCAGGATTGATTTTCACCCACAGGCCCAGCATGCCTGGCCAAAGCTTGCAGATCACTTGAATACACATCCTAGTTGCCTTTCGGGGCTGACCATCAAATTGAAGGGCTGACCGTCACACAACGTGGCCTTTGAACATGCGATTCTTGGAGGGACCAAAATTTGAGTGGTTTCATGTGAGGCCAAGAGCCAAGAGCCAGCTGCCGTTTACTTTTCTTGCCAAGATGATCCACAAATAATGTTATTCTCGAAGTCACTTAAAATCTATACGATGATTTTTGCCAGTGCGAATAGGTTTCGAGCCGTGACCAAAGCAGATTCAGTTGTGCGTTGAAAACAGACCAACCTGGCCAAGCTGTGTGATAAGCATGGCCAAGCCTTTAGTGACAACACAACCACGTTGATCGCACAGGGACATCGATCACAAACGTGACTCCAATTGTCTCGTTTGCATGAACTGCCAGGTTGCGTTTGGGGGGGTCCTTTAACCACTGAGAGACACCAATTGGGTTTGAGTTGCTGAAAGAGCATCTCTCTCTATAATTATACAATATTATATATATATGTATATTACATACATGATTATGTAACATAATTATGCATATTATCCAGGGAAAACGCTTGAGGTCCGTTTCCTCCCGTTCAGGTGATCCCGAACCAGAGAGGTGCCTCGGGATCCGGGAGGACTGGGACGGACGTTCAGGTCGGCCATCCTGCGGCCGACCAACAAGGGTGTCACTCGCGAGAGGACGGATGTGGTCTTCCCCTCAAACAAATATGTCATTGATTGTGGGAAGGATACGAACTTCATGATTTCTCTCGAGAGGACGGAGGTGTAGCATGATGTTGGATTGGACGTTGGATTTGCCACCTTCATCCGATTCATCGGTGAAGCATAGTGCAACTAAATAGAGTGGTATTCGTTGGCTGTGGCATTCGTCCAGAGGAGATATCGCCTTCATTGTGTCAAGTTGACAAATCAAACTATGTTGCACGCATAGTTGCTTTGTGGGGGTGTTGACTTATTATCTTCATAAGGAATTCTTCATCCTCAGCCATTTGAGCACGAAAAGCAGGGTGAAACGAGGCATATTCTTTTTGAAGAATCATGTTTCGATGCATGTTGCTCAGCTGCTTGGATCGAGAAGGTGAACGAACGACGGGTTGGCGGGACGGTGAGGGACGGGTGAAAGCTGGGAAGATCGCCACCAAGAAACAACAGTCCTTAAACAAATAACAGATGGTTTTTGCGGGAACCATAAGAAAGCAAAACACACATGAGTTTTGTTCATGATCTTCCCGTGACTGTTGATGTTTCCGCAGCCACCCCGCTTGGGCATCGGCCAAGGTGATAATTTGAAGGATGGATATGTTTGATCCAAAATGGATCAAAATGCATGAGGTGTATCCAGAGCCCTCAAAATCTCAGTGATATGGAGCATTTGAGCTCGCCATAGATTTACTTTAATTATATATACATAATCATACATAGTTCATTAAATGTTTGTAATTCTTCAAAGTTCCTGTCAGGATCAAGATGGGCCCTGACAAACATGGTGCTTGGTTGAAAAAGAATGGAGATTTGACATTTTGTTGGTGGCTTTGTTGACAGCAGCGACAGCTTTCACATCGCCCCACGCGGAGGCACGAGGGGGACAACATGACCTATACATACCCTTCTTGCACAAATACATACCTATCCTGATTTCAGGCCTATCACCAGACAGTAATACAGTCGATATGGGCGCGTCCCATCGCCAGATCCAAGGCCTTTTGGTGACCTTGGCGGGTGGTGCGTGCTTGCCCAACGCCATCCCGCCGTCCGAGCGAAAGCTGCTGGCCACTTGGACAGTTTCACCCAAGTGGCGCATGGCTAAAGATACCACCATTTGGGTGGCTTGTTCGGTGATCCGGGGCTTACCAGGATACACAGACGCAGGATGCACATATCTGATACCAAAGGACACCAAAAGCCAGAGCAAGGTGAAGTCGCAGCCTCGATGGGCCTGAAGTTACAAGGCATCACTGAGCTGGGTGCGGTCGGAGGTTCAAGGTTCCACATCACCCACGCAAGGTCTCCAGTCCGTTTTGGTCGACCTCTCCCATTTGGATGAATTCTTGCCTTTGGGTTGGGGGAAGCGAATGAACCTCTCGTCTATCAGGTTGCCACCGGTGTTCTGTTCACTTGAAGTGAATCGCGTGGCGTCGCGTGACCATGACAACGAATCGCTCAGGAGAACAGCAATGGTGAGTCCTACCCCTTTGGTGTGTGGATTGCCAACTATGCCGCCTCGTATGCCGCAAACGTGATGGTCCAAGTGCTCATCGAGGAGAAACAGAATCGCGGGGGGCACTGTGAAAGCGCCCTTCTGGTATGTTCTGCTGGAGTCAGTTTGTTTGTTTCTTGGAATCGCTTGGCATGGCCCTTCACCTCTACCTTTAGACTCTCTTCATAAAGATGGAATGATGAACTGCTTCGTGAACATTCATAAAGATAACGAAGGCTTTATAATAGCTATGTCATGTCATATCAAAATGCATTTGGTTATCATGGAGACAACAAAGGTACGTATCACAATGAGTCAAGTAAATTGCACACACAGAGCCCAGATAGTATCACAATGAGCCCCAAAGGTAAGATGCACGCACATGTGTTGACATCAACACATATTAACTATATAACTACCCATACTCTCCAACAGCCACAGTTGTTGAGCAAAAATAACAATCACACCCAAGAACCCATTGTTCAAGAATGAGGAACCCACTGGATTCCAAGTGGACCCGATCAATGGTTTGGTCGTCTTGAGTTGTAGTCGAACGACCATCACCGATCCACAGCGGGAAGTGTTCGCGGACCAAAGCCACCGGAGGAAGTCTTCGGGTTCAACACAACCAGTGGCCTTGGAGTCTTGGTCGAAGCTGGTAGAACTGGGGACCTGGTAGCTGAAACCCTTGGGTGTCTAGGTGACATCCACCCATGCAAGGTGCATACCTTTTATTCAATCTTGTGTAAATGTCTTTTGGATTGTAATGGTTTACATGAGGAGGCAGGGATAGGTCAACTCGTTTCGGGAAATTTGTTGGGTGTTTGGTGGCCGAAGCATCCGTCGGTGGTCCATCCCATTGGTAGTGTGGCTATCTTCTGAATGGTCCTTCAAGGTGGATGCAACCGGTGTTAAGTCCTGAAGATCACGAGTCAGTTGCTGACGCTCCTTGAGGTTAGCTCGAGGTTTGCCAGTTGCTTTCCTTCATGAGTTTCCCTGTTCAGTCGAGTCGAGAGTACTCGAGGGTTGCAACCCGAAAAGAAATCCTGATGTGGCCGTGGACCAATGTTTGCCACTTGCGCCACTTGACTCTGTTAAATGGAACTACAAACGGAACATCCAGTTTACTCTGAAAGCATGGTGTGGACAATGCTGAGCTATCCCAAACATTGGGGAAACCACATCCAGGGAAATATGAAACAAGATGAAACAAGCATTCGGCGATCCAATGATTAAACCGTCGTTGTTCTGCTTGCAGTTCTGCCTGCTGGCCCCATGCGACTTGTCCCAGGCCCTGGGACTGTGAGTGGGTTCTATGGCGTTGGTGGCTGCCTCAATCCGAATGACAACAATGATCCTCAATGTGGGACTGAAGCATCTCGACCGCAGTCGTGGTGCCGTCATCGGCACCCCGTGTCCCTCGGAATCTTCGCGGCCTCCCCAAAAAGAACAAAAGACGACAAGCCACGTGAAAGATGTGCCGGCGAATGGGTCCCGTGCGGGCGCCGGGGAGGAGGGAGCCGTAGATGTTTGGTGCTTCTTTTGCGCAGTGAGTTTGTGTGTGCAAGACATTTGTTGTCTTCTCACATAAAGACAGCAAGATTGTTTCAAGTTTGATCCCCCTGTGACAGAGGTGCCGACCAAATATCACCTCAACATGGAGGCGTGGGTGAATGGCTATCCTTTGGTGTGGAAGAATCTTCAGCTCGAACACCCGAAAACGGCACCAGATGATCTTGGAAGCATGGGCTATGCGGGCTATGCCGGGAGTTTCCTGACAGAGGAGGTCATCACAACCGCTCACAAGACGGAGGGTATTGCTTTGCAGTACTACAAATTTTGGAATGTGCTTTGGAGTTTATGAGGTGATTTTGTGTGATGTTGTGATTTGTTGTAATGTCCCCGTTCTGACATCCCCCCAACAGCTAGCTTTGCGTTGCAAAGCTTTGCACTGGCGATGCCATAAGGGTTGCTGTTTTTGTCGCTGGCGCCAGTCTTACAAAACAGTGTTGCAAAAACTACGTAGCATTTACGCTCACTCAGACTGGGGCCAGCAGATTTGTTCAATGAGCACTTCACTAAAAAAGGGTTTGGGAGAATTCTGAGTTTCATCCCGGCGGGCCAATCCCAGGCATCGTGGTACGAACCTTCCAAATACACAAACACGATCACCGACTTCAATCTTTCCAGATGGTTGAAGCCTTGCATGAACAGCGACTCCGTTTTCATGGATGATACCACCATGAGGCGGCACATACAGTTCACAGGCGATCTTGATGGACTGGTGTTGAACACCAGCAATAGCCGATACTACGCGAAGTGCCAAGATGGCTATTTTTGGAGAGCTCCAAGTTGTCGTGGGAATGCTTCACAATGTGTCCCTTTTGTCACTGGAGGCTCTGGCTGGTCCATAGAGGAGATGATGCAAAAAAGCGTCGTACTATACATGCCCTTGGGCCTAGCAGTGGCTGCTGGATGGACTGAGTACACCCAAATTCCATTCCACTATCCAAAAATGCAAGTGTATTGGTGGGTGCCAGATCCCAGTTTTCTGGAACTGGCGCCACAGATGATGCAATGGGCGCCCCTTGACAAGCGTGGATGGGCGAATGGGTATCAGGTTTCACAGCTCGGATCCATTCCGATCAAGAAGCTTGTGAGCAGGGACCTGATGGTTCTGGCTCCGAATGTGCGAAGCTCCTAGGCATTCGAAAGTCGAACGTCGGGTTGGCTTTCGAGAAATGACTGACCGAAATAGTCTGAAGAAAAATGAGGGGAAAAAGGTAAACGTGTGGAAAAATGCTACATATCTTTCACAGTTCTTCACCATGAATCCTTTATTGAAAACACAATGACCTTCATGTCAACACTCCTTGTTCAATCAAGTTTGTGAGAATAGTAATAGTAATTAATAGTAGTAATAAACCCATGTCCTTATCAACCTCCTTCACTATGCCTCAACGTTCTGTTTCTCGTTCTCAAGGAAGAGCAACTGTATGTCAGCGAGTCAGCACGCTTGCAAAAGGAACAGAGAAGTGAAAACATTGGAGCACCAGGAACATATTTTCCTGAACCTGAAACCACTGCGGGTTTTGAACCACTGACGTAGCATACCAAGTGAAATTGTGCTGTTTGTTTTGCCACCAAATTATCATGTATTCCTAGTTGACAAGATGAGACGTCCGAAGGGATCCCACTGGAAGAAACCGCTTTGTTCGATTTGACAACTAAACAAGGGCGGTCTTGTAGCCTTGAGGCTCCTGGTGGTGAATAAACACTTTCAAATATACTTAAATATATATGACTCTGGACTGCATCATCCCGGCTAAATGCGCAGGATCCACCGTTTTTCTCAAGATACGTAGGATCACTTCTGGGAAGTCGCCTCATGTGGGCTG